ATCTTCGGCGCCGGATGGGGGAGAGCTTTGTCTGGTACGTCGGTCCGTCGTCGACGTTCGCGGCCGGGGAGGACATTATGGACGACAGTGATGCCGAACCTGATACTTCGGACGACGACACGTTCTGGTCGAAGGGTGGTACGGGCTCCGGGAAGGGCGAATCTGCCTCCCGCGCCATAGCAGAGCACTGGCGGCTTCAGCAAGAGCAGCCAAGTCTGGCCTCTGCGCCCCGCCGGTCCTTGTGGTCCGCTATTATTTCACGCCGCAAGGCTAAGGAGAATGCAACGACGAAGGACTCGGGCTTGAAAACACGCCTCATGTCCCTTCCAAGCTTACGGCGAACGCTAGCTATGATATTTAATTAATTTCGGGAAATAATTCTATACAGTACTTCTGTCTTAATATTGTCAGTTAACGATTGACCTCAACTCCTTGAACTTAAAACAGTGCAGACGACTGATTAGGGCACACCATTTGGAGGTATTCGGAGGTTCAGGTCCTTGAAGCGCGGAGAGTTTAGGAAAGGGATGGCTGAAGAAGAGACGTTGCGGCAAAGGGCTGGGTTCGAAGGAGATGTTCTTGTTTGAACCTAGAGACAGTTCCAACCGTCGATGTCCCCTCCTTTGGCCATTCCATTCCCCAGCGATGCTCGACTCGGCCTCTACGCTCCTCCAACAGAAATACCGGTAGATCCGGAGCTTGAGGCTGTGCGCGCAGTTGTGCGCCTTCTGAACGCCAAAAAACCATTTTGAGAGAGTTGTGGTTGTAGGCTCGTTTTGGAAGGAGTCCCCCACGTGAGCCTGAGCGGACACAAAAGACGGCTGTCAGTCTACTCGCTTTTTCTTCTTCCAACTTGTACTCTTATACCGCCATATACCACGGAACGGTCAATTCGATCCAACACACCACTAGGAATCTCTATATTCCTCCTTGTACATTACTCGCGTTCTGACGCGCCTGACGCGTGCAATTTGGGGCCACTGGTACTACAACTAGAAATTCCTTGGGCGGTATGCCTATTCCCACCTCCCAGAGGCATAGTAGACCCAATAGTCCCCCCACAAATACCACAAATGCCTCAAACTCCTCCCTCCGTCCTCGGCTCTCTAGCGTCTTCAATACCCCGTCGTCAGGCACTGCGTATTCCCCTACTGTTACTCAGGGCTCGCACACGCAAAAGCTGAACATCGTGACGCGTGTTGCGATTGAGGGGAAGGCAAAGCACGGCGACGATGGCGCTGGTATCAAAATGTACCTCAAGGTATGTAGTGAATTTTTGCTGGCTCCACCCCCGCTAAGTTCTATTGGCAGATTACCCTACCATTAGACAGCGTCACCCCGGGGTCGACCATTCCGCTGTTTCCCGGTTCGTCTGTAGTTGTTCATGTATTTCACGGTGCTGACTTGTGGGCAGAGGAAAGTGTCAAAATTTTGTCCTCGCAGGTTCACCCACTAGACCACAATTCCGTCCCGTACGACTTTTCTTCGGACTTGTGCCCGCTTCTCCATCATGCGGCACGGGCACTTAACCGTGAGTTGCGAGCTCTGCCGTCGTTGCACTGTCACTCAGTTCTGTATAGTTCCAAGCCGCTCATCAGAGTCTTACCACGCCGCCTTCGGGCTCTCACCACCGGCGACAAGCGCCTCTGTCGCCAATTCCGTCAGATCCACAAAGTCCAACGGGTCTTCCGCCTCCAATAGAAGCGCCACGCCGCCCGTAGACAGCAAATACACCGGCACCATCCTTGTCAGCGGCTACCACATCTCTTATGTGCTCCCCAAGGTATTTCCGGCGCGGTATCAAGACACCGAGGCATATTCCCGCTCCTCGGGCAGCTTGCGGCGCTCGTCTATCATAGAACGAAACAGCGTGCAGTTCGTGGCCGCCATCGACATGTTCGTGCCGTACGCGTCGCGCCCGCCGCGGTCGCCGTATCTGGTGTGTATCCTTTGTTTACAAGACTCCGGCCGTGCGCTGACTCGCCCAGCTTTCTATCCCCACCCCGCGGTGCCTACACAACAACATCCGGCTCCGCATCTTCCCGCCGTCCGCCACCTCCGCGTCATTCGCGTCACTCTCTTCCGCGGACGAAGACGGCGGCTCGTGGGAGCTCACGTCCGACCCGCACGTCACGCGCGCGGCGTCCGCACGCCAGTCGCGCTCCTCGGGCTCGTTCTCGTACGGCAACATTGCGGACGACGAGTCGAGCGACTCATCCACCGCGGGTTTCTCGGACGGGTGCGGGATACAGGGGACGTTCCCCAGCGCGGAGCGCATCCGCGTGCGCTGGGCGAAGCCGACGAAGGTTGTCGGTGGGGGCGGGGACGGGCGCCGGCGCGTGGGCGTGAAGGACGTCAAGGGGGATATGACGTGTGTCGTCCTGGGCAAGATGTGGGATGCGGAGCACCAGAAGGAGGGGATCGTGATGAGTGTGGAGTACAAGGGGACGTGCAAAGGTGTGTGGTTTCCCGGGGTGGCAACGATGCTGGGGATGGACGTTAGTCTGGAGGCCAAGGGCTCCGACGTATCGTGGGTGCCTGGGGGATTGAACGACTGGGAGGTGGGCGGAGGTGCTGGGTACACGGGATTCGACGTCGGCGCACCACCGAAGCCCGACGGTCCGTCACGACATGATTCCCTAGACTCGAACTATTCCAATGGGCCGCAAATCTTCCTCTCTGCGGAACGGGGCATATCCCGGCAGAGCTCGGCGTCATCGTCGTCCTCTCTTCTCCGGGGGCCTCTTCCTGCGCACAACGTTGCGGAGTACTCTTTCGAAGGCTCAGCCCCGTCATCCTCCGTCTCTGCATCGCAGACCACCTCGATCGAGTCGTCCGTGGGCTCTCTCCTCCCTTCATCTTCCACCCCCTCAATCGACCCGACGCCGCGGCCGCCAGGCGTTCCTGTAACGATACACGTCAACATGAATGAGCTGACCCTCCCCGCGAGCAAAAACTCCTTCCCATTCTGGATATCGGGCACCGTGCTTGTCACGCCGCGTCCCCGTCCCGCGGCCCCCGCATCGCGCAACTCCTCCCCCGTGCGCGGAGAGCACGACCCCGACACGCCCACGCCGCCCATCGACCCGGAATCGATCATCATCCCGCGTTTCACCGTCCTCGCCGCGGACAACGAAACCGTCGCGGTTATCGTGCGGAACGACATCGACACGAGCGCGAGCCCACCATGCACAGTCGAGGTACATAATCCCAGCGCGCATGGCGGCGAGTCGCACCAGCGCGGGCCCGCGCCGAGCAAGACCATCCTGCAGCGCGGGGACTACACCAAGTGCCTCGAGCGCGCGCGCATCACAGTCAAGCCCGCGATTGTGTTCGCGTCCGCGGCGAACGGTGTTGGTACGGCGGCGAACGGGAAGCTACACCCGCCGAGTCGGCCCCGGACGCCGAGCACCGCGCCGGGCTCGCGCGATCGCGTGCCGTCGACGTCTGGCCCCGCGCGCGCGATGTCGCTCTTGGGGCTCGCGCCTGCGCGGCCGAAGCGCGACGGCGTGCTGATGATTCCGAGCGTCGTCGCGACCGTCACGCCGCTCGTCGCCATGCCGGACAACGGCGCAAGTGCGCTCGCGGCGGTGCCCGCTGCGTACGCGGTACGTGTGGAGCTTGCGGCGCCGGTGGAAGCGGAGTCGGACTGGCTTGAGTTTGGGCTGGCGAAGCATGGTGGGGCGAGTGGGTCGGCGGCGAGCACGGCGGGTGCGGGGCCGCCGAAGGTCGACATTGTGAGTGTGAGCGTGGACGACGTGCCGGTGTTGTATGAGACAAGCGTGGCGGTGAAGCAGGAGGGGCCGGGGCTGGGACTACCGTTTGAGCAGATGAGCGGGCAGGAGTGGGTTAGCTGGGTGAAACTGCGGGTTGGGGCTGCTGGTGGTGGGCGCGTTGTGGTTGATTACGTGGTCAAGGATGTCGATGGACGGCTCGCCGCCGATAAGAAGGGCAAAATGAAGGCGAAGGACCATACACAGTTTGATGTGTATTTGCCATCATTCGGAATACTTGTGGGGAGGCTGGAAGTCAATATTGATGGTATTCAAGGCAAGTCGGCTCTTTCTCTTATGTCTGCGTAGTCTAACCTTCCTCAGGCCTTGAAATTTCGTCTTTGCGATCTAATTTCTCGCACCATCAATCTGTGAACTCTGGACGACGGCTTCTGCATTATTCTCTGCAAGCGTTTTTCTATCCCCACATATCCTTGGACATCCGTCTAGATCGCCACCGCTACAACATGCACCCTTTTTCGCCCGTCTCGACGAGTTCCGGCCAGCTGGCGATACTCCTCGTCTCTTGGGCAATCCTCATCCTCGGATCCGTGTATCTCGTTCGGCTGAATTCGGCGGTGTCCCAACTCTCGGAATCACTCGAAGGATATTCGCTGACCGTGGGCTCGGGGTGGAGCAACGCCCCCGAGCCTATGACAATCACCACCACCGCCTTCCAGGCAAGTCGCTGGCAGTGGTTCAACAGCGACGCCAAATCAGAATCTGCATCGGAACCTGCGCAGCCCAGTCCGAGTAATACTCCTTCTGTAGCGCTGACGTCCCCACCGGCGCCCTCTGTCACGGAGACACCGCGGGTCTTTCCAACTCTCACCCCCGAGCCGTCGACCTCCGTCGACCTCTTTCGGCCACTCACCTTCTGGTCCAATATGAGTTGGCCCGAAGTAGACACGGATTTGGTGCTAGAAAAACTCCTCTGGGGTGCGGAGAAGCTTTGGCAGTTTGTCCGAAAAATATACCACTATCCTCTGGATCCTACTTGATATATCGACATGTAATGACATTTGTACGCATTTATATGTTTATGATTTAACGTTTGTTATAAGGAGAGCTGTTTGTTACTTTTATTTCCAATATCATTGAATATGAGAGGGCCAGTAATATTAATTGAACTTCTGATTTTGTGAACGGGTTTATGTGAACAGAAGGGAACTTTCAAGGAATGGCAAAGAATAGATAGTTAAAAACCAAACAAAAGCAAAAACAAACCGACACCAGCAGGACTTGAACCTGCGCCCGGAAACCGGAACAGATAAGCGTTGATTCGAATCTGTCGCCTTAACCACTCGGCCATAGTGCCATGAAGAGCCGTCTGGACCTGCACTACACAACGCTGGAAGGTCTGGATTTAGAGGTGTCGCTCAGCCTCCTGTCTAAAGACCAGATTGCGCGGAATGTTTCAATCTCTCTATAGTTGGTCCGTAACTTTCCAAGATCTCAAGGAGGAAGCTCGAGGAAGTCTTTGCATGGCTCGTTCGCCTGAACCTGTGTGTTAGCCCGTTGAGGCCAAGCAGATCTTCTTCACATGAGTATTGATGTCCGTGAGGTGAAGTGGGACATTGTTGTGCAACTCCGGATACCTGGTTCATATATTCCATAGGCAATAACATCCAACATGAGGGATGGCTAATCTACAAGTCTAAACAGCATGCGAAGCAGACAACATAGGTCCGGCCAGTGGGGGCCGTTGGTTCTTGGCCTTCTTGTTATTTCGTCTAGGGGATTTGGATACATCGCGGGGGCGGGAAGGGGCCTCGGCCTCGGCCTTGACGCGCTCCTCTTCAGCGGCCCACCACTTCAAGAAATCTTCTTCGGCCTGGCGGGCCTTCTCCTCTTCTTGTATCTCGAGCAGAGAGCGTTTATCCTTACCGGAGGACGTGCCCTGCTCGAGTTGCAGCTGCTGAATGGCTACGAACGAGACACCCGACGCTGGGGAGGAGGATGCCGCGACCGGGGCGGGCGGCGGTTGTGTCCAAGCTTTGTTGCCGCTTCTATTAATGCATGATAAGTAACACGACGATATTTAGTTGAACAGGTTGACTTACGACACGCGGCGGACGCTTGAGGGGGCGGGCCGAGAACTAGGTTGGCGGGACGGTGTAAAAACAGGACCAAGGCTGGATTGTGGTGGCTGAGGTCCTCGCGGACGAGGAGGGGGTGAAGGTGACGCTGCGGTAGCTGATGGAGTAGGGAAAGCTTCCTGTGGACGACCCCAGCTGGTCGAAGGAGTGATGGGTGGCGAGTTAGAAGGTGAGGCGGGCGATGGTCGAGCGGCAGGGAGCTTCCATGGAGAGGCGCCAGAACGGGATGATCCAGGGACCGAAGTCCCGTCGAATATGTCGGGAGGCCCTTGAAGCTTTTTGCGTTCCCGCTGGGGTGTCTTTTGGAAACTAAATCCAGCCGCGGCGTTTGAATCACGCCGAGAAGTGGTCTGGGACGCCGCTTCTGCCATTACCGCCTTCATATCGACACTGAAGATAAATGAGTATGAATCGCAAAAGGTAATCACAAAATGACCGACCGAGGAGTAGACGACGCTTTCCAAACAGGAACAGTAGAGGTAAGAGCAACAGTAGAGGAGAGCGGATCTATCGAGGGTGCTGGCAGGACAACCGCTTCGGTATCATCCATATCGAAGATATCATCGATGGTGGACGACGCTTGGGCTGTTATGACAGGACTAACGCCCGGACTATTTGACACCGACGCAGTTCTGGACTGCCTGCGCTTCGACGGGTCAGGAGATAGCGGGGCGTCCTTGCGGGCAGGAAACCTGGAGGACGGGATAATGGGTTCTGGAATGTCTTGCAGGGCTAGCCAGTCTCCGTGAATCGCCATAGCTCTGTCCACCATGAAGTTCGATCGAACTTTGGGGCTCTTCTCCTTTTGTTTCCTGGTCACAAAGTTGGAGAGCTGCTTGATCAAGGCGGGCGTCAGATCGTCAAGCATGCGGCTCTCGAGTAAAGTTTCCAAATTCGCAGCGATGTACCCCTGAATGCTCCCAACCAGTTGTTGCGCGTGGAAGTGGGACGCGTCGGAGAGTATATAGCAGGCATTGTTGATATCCGTCCATTTAAGGATGACCGCAGAACAAAGCAGAACCAAGCGATCGAGCAGCAGCTCATTCTGAAAGGGCATTAGATTAATTTCTAAAAGACGGAAAAAATCTTACAGCAGCAGCCATCACGTCAAACATGAATTCCAAAACCTCATCTACTGACCGTGCGAATCCTAGGGTAGAAAAAATAAGTTTAGGCGGCCCAGCATGTAAAAAAATAGTCACCAAGGTTCTCAAAGATCTCTGCATCCCTGCCACAGCACAAGTATTTAAGGACATACTCCATTACGTGCCATCGCAGATGTTTGAGATTGACGTGAACAAAGCCATTGGCGTCCCACCGCTTCGCCGTCCAATCATCCTCGTCGAAGAAGCTGGCGAAGACGGGACAACGCGCGCGTAAGATCGTCGAGTGGCAATACACGTCCCGATCCGCTAATTGGAGGATGACATCCGGTGCGATGGGAGACTTCGCCAGGTCCGATTGCGCGTCCGAACCGGGCTGCACCGCGCGGAAAAGTACTTCCATATCGCGCACGACGGAGGGCAGAGGCACGCGCTTGGCCGGGGATTCAAGCGCCTGCGCAAGGAGGGGAAGATCCAAAATGCGGGCAAGACCCTGCAGCTCGAGCTTTACTTGCGCGGGCTTGATCTTGTGTGTGGTCAATTCTTGCTGCAGCGCCGAACCAAGACGTCGGTCCCATATCGCCGATAGCTCGTCGGAGTACAAGTACTCCAACAGAATAAGGACTGTTATGGGCTCGCACCCCTTGATATCGAGACGCGTTCGCACAAGGCCAGAAGTTGAGGATGCCTTGATTGTGATGTGTGACTGGGTGTCGCGCAGAACAGACCCGGCGAGAACACCGCACATAACTTGGGTGCGGGCCCCGAGAATAACCCGGTGGGCAGGAAAAGAGGCGGCTCGGACATGAACCATTACATCTGCTCCATGGCGGGCGGGCGGGACGGCATTCAACCCAAGCAATCGGCACAGCCGCCAAATCCGTCGGAAATCAGCCTCAATCCCAGTATCCTCCAAATCCTCGCCATCGTCGCCGACGTAGGTCCACTGAGGCGAATCCGGAACGGGCGCAGACTCGTCCTTCAAACGGACGACTGGTGGAGATGCGATGTATGGTTGGATGGTCGCTAGATCTTCCGCCATCATATTTCCCTCAATGCGAATAGGTTCGGGTTTAAAATCCACCCGAAGCGCGCCGAATGCACCGGTGGTATTTGCACAGACCTGTGTTACGCGTTGGATAAACGGTATACGCTGGAACTTGAAGGTCTTGCCGGACGCCGTGCTGTTGTTTCCCTTCCCGTTGCGAGAGCGAACGAATACGTGACCCGACACGGTGCAGATGATGATGCTGCCATCAGCGCCGAGCGCGACGTCCCGGACAGCGCTAAATTGCTTCCGCAAGGCCCAGACGCGCTGAGGTTTAAATCCCAGTCCGCGACCGGCGTTAGCGTCTGCCTCGCCCGGATCCGGTACCGAGAAGGTGAACAATTCGCCGTTGGACGACAGAGCGGCCAAGGTATCCTCAGAGCTTGTGATTTTGGCAATGTGAGCATCTTTGAATTTCATGGCCTGGGGTGGTCGGTAAGGCTGTATCTCGGACGGGAAAGCATGTATCGGGAAGCTGCGAAGTCTTTTTTGAGTCGATATTGGCGAATAAAGATGAACAACACACATAATTTTAATGTATCGATCGTTCCAAATACATATGACGTCTTGGGTGTCGAGGAGACAAGCCATAGCATGGTCCTAAGCCCAATATGAACGAAAGACATGGGTATGAGAGGTGGACGCACAGTCAGAGAAATCGCCATAACCGGTCGAACAACCTTGGATACTTTGCGAGGGACAATCTGTATTGGCTGGGCAGCCTTGTCATAACCGAGCTGGCCATTATTGGTGCCCCAAGTGAACACCTCCGTTGCCGTCCAGCATGCAGAGCATTGTTTGGATGCTGCGACGCCTTTGACAAGTTCCTTCTTCAGCGGTCCGTAGATCTTCCGCGGGGTAGCTTGGATAGGCTCTTCGAGCCTGCCGGTGGTGGTCGAGGGTTCGACGACATATCCGAGTTGGTGGAAACGCGACAAGCCCCAGCTGAGAACTTCTCCGGCACTGGTGAGCGCCAAAGTATGATCCTGACCAAGGGCCACAGAAACGATCGAATGGGACAGTTGAGGAAGTGGGACAAGACTGTACTGCGTGTGCTGCCCGGGACCCAAACTGTAAATCACTTAACTAAGCTGGTCAGAAGCAGGGGGGATCCCAATTTACCGTCCTCCACTACCAAATCCGCACATGCGTAAGTTTGATTTGCTCTCAGACGTCACAACAACTTTAAGGGAAAATTATATCAATCTGAAACGACCGATGAAGACCGGACTTACCTGTGTGAAGCTTGGACATCTGAATCTGGCGAGCAAGCAAAGGGGAGAAGCGGGCAGTCGATTTTGGTTCGGTACCTTCCTTGGGGATGGACACCTGGTCTGGGTACGTCCTATCGCCACTGTCTACTAAGCCCAGGGCAGCATTTCTGGCAACAGATAAGCGAGAGATTGGATCGAAGCAGAGCAGTTACCTGTTGACGCCCCATGTGTGCAATTCCGCATGCAAGGCATTGAGGGGAGCAGTTCCGGACACCGTACAGTTGTACAGATCAAAAGCCGTGTGTCCGTCCAAATCCTTGAGCGAAATCTCGATATCGGACCGTTGCAAGAGCAAAAGTCTGTTATCGCGCGTCAACGCTGTCGGGCCATGATATGCAAGCAACGACTAACGCGGCGGCCAGGTTCCCATTGTACAGGGCCCGATGGAGAGCCGTCCAGTGGCTCTCCACGTCCGGTAGATTGACATTGACGGAGGGGTGTTTCAACAACGCCCGAACATACTCGACGCCGTCCGGAACCGCGCATGCAAGATGGAGAGCGGTTCTTCCCAGCCAATCAAGGGCATTAACATCGCACGCAATGGCAGATTTCAATGTGCTTGCGCCTTTCCATGATTTGCCAGCGCTTCCGCTCACGGCGGTATGTGTTCCGCGGTCATTGCCGCTATCGAGCAGGCGTTGGAACGCCTGAAGATTTCGTAGATGGAAGTGAGCATGGAGCAAGGTCATACAGTGTCGGGGGGTAGACTGGCGACCTAATGGAAGGACTCCCGAGGACTCCTTCGATAGATCGCAGTCCGATAATGCTGCACTCGAAGGACGAGCACAGACTTT